TGGTAACCAAAGTGAGTCCAGTTAGATACAGTTCTCCATCACCAGTTAGGAGGAAAACTTAACATGGAACCTTTGAGAATCCATCTTTGTGTGGTAGCTTAAGTGAGTTAGTTAGATACGTTCTCACATCACCAGTTAGGAGAAAACAACGTAGGAACCTTTGAGAATCCATCTTTGTGTGGTAGCTTAAGAAGTGGAGTCAGTTAGATGCGTCCTCACATCATAATTGGGAGAAAAACTTAACATGGGAGCTGAGTAATCCACATCTTTAATGGCAGTAACCAAGTGAAGTCAGTTAGATACGTTCTCCACATCACCAGTTAGGAGAGAAAAACTTAACTTGGTAAAGAACCTTTGAGAATCCATCTTTGTGTGGTAACAAGTGAGTCAGTTGAATGCGTCCTCACATCTACCAGTTAGGAAGAAAACTTAGCATGGAACCTTTGAGAATCCCATCTTTGTGTGGTAACTTAAGTGAGTCAGTTAGATACGTCCTCACATCGCAGTTAGGAGAGAAACTTAACGTAAGAACCTTGATCCATCTTTGTGTGGTGGCTTAAAATTGATCAGTTAGATACGTTCTCACATCACCAGTTAGGGAGGAAAACTTAACGTAGAACCAGCCCCGAAATCCATCTTTGTGTGGTAGCTTAAGTGAACAGTTAGATACGTTCTCCGTCTGCCAGTTAGGAGAAAACTTAACGTAGGAACCTTTGAGAATCCATCACTGACAGTAGCTTCGTGGATCAGTTAGGCCGTTCTACATCACCCGAATTGAGAAAACTTAACGTAGGAACCTTTGAAATCCAAGTGAGTCAGTTAGATACGTTCTCACATCACCAGTCAGGAGGAAAACTTAACGTAGGAACCTTTGAGAATCACACCATTAGACACGACCTTAATTATACACTGACGAGGAAAATTTTACCTGACCACAAACTAAGAATAAGGATCGTCACGAGCAGCTGAGAGGAACTCGTAAGATTAATGTATCCGGAAGGTGTCGCCATCGTTCGTGAGCCGTGAATGGGTAATCTGAGCGCACCACGAACCTTGCTGTATGTATGTCTGTGTGTGTGTGTGTGTCTGTGTCTGTGTGTGTGTGTGTGTGTGTGTGTGTGTACAGTCTGGCACCGGATAAACCAGATTCGTGGCTTTCCAGTGGGATTTTTCCGGTCCAACTAGGTGACTGGTTTGTATATCCGGTCTCTCTCTCTCTCTCTCTTTCTCTCTCTCTCTCTCTCTCTCTCTCTCTCTCTCTCTCTCTGGCTCTCTCTCTCTCTCTCTCTCTCTTTCTCTCTCTCTCTCTCTCTCTCTCTCTCTCTCTATCACACAAGGGTCTGGAAATTCCCCCACCACCCGTGTGACGTCATACCCCCCCAATCAGCTGTGCCTAAAACGAAATAAATAAAGGACATATTTAACATAGGAACCTTCGAGAATTTAAAGATTTAGCAATAATAATAATCTTAGTGTCCATCAGTTGAGTCGTGTGGGGGAGTGGTAGAAGAGGATGATAAATGGCTGGGGATTTTTTAAAGCTTTTTCTTTTTACATTACCTGGGATAAAGGAGTGGCGGGAATTTTCAGGTTTGGTATCAATGCTTTGTCGAAATACATGATGTTTTAATTATCTATCTATCTAACTATCTATCTATCTACGGATCTCACTAGAAAATCTCGAACAGGACCTCTAATCTATTTTCATATTTTTTAGGCTATAACACCAACTAAACCTTACATAACGTGACTGAAATTACGCTTAATCTTCATAATTAGTTTTTATTTGGGTTAGATTAAGTTTAGTTTATTCTAATCATCTGTTTCGAATAAATACATATATGTTTTAATGCTTCTTTTCATTATTAATTGTCAATATTTAAATTCTGTTTTTCCCGTTTTCTGTGGAGATTAAAATGACGTCATGGATTAGTTTTCTATGATTGAGTTATGGGAGACTTTGGTATATGTAAAGATATCTAAAATTACTCGGGAAGCATCTAATCTTTCTCTCTCTCTCTCTCTATCTCTTTTTTTCTCTGTCTCAAATAACATTACATAAGCACAGTTAGCCACACATTGAACCTTGAAGTGGTGTTGTAAGAAATAAATAACCACAAAAACATATCACCAAAACAAAATCCAGACAGTCACACGCTTCTGGCAGTCACTCACTCGCCACAAACAGTCACTCACTCGCCACAAACAGTCACTCACTCGCCACAAACAGTCACTCACTCGCCACAAACAGTCACTCACTCGCCACAAACAGTCACTCCTCGCCACAAACAGTCACTCCTCGCCACAAACAGTCCACTCCTCGCCACAAACAGTCACTCCTCGCCTGACAGTCACTCACTCGCCACAAACAGTCTCCTCGCCTAGAAGCAGTCACTCCTCGCCACAAGCAGTCACTCCTCGCCTGAAACAGTCACTCCTCGCCACAAACAGTCCACTCCTCGCCACAAACAGTCACTCACTCGCCCGCAGTCACTCCTCGCCACAGAAACAGTCACTCACTCGCCACAAACAGTCACTCACTCGCCACAAACAGTCACTCACTCGCCACAAACAGTCACTCACTCGCCACAAACAGCAACAAACAGTCACTCACTCGCCACAAACAGCAACAAACAGTCACTCACTCGCCACAAACAGCAACAAACAGTCACTCACTCGCCACAAACAGTCACTCACTCGCCACAAACAGCAACAAACAGTCACTCACTCGCCACAAACAGTCACTCACTCGCCACAGACAGCAACAAACAAACAGTCACTCAAATTAACTGTAACCCATTAAAATGTTTTCTAAAATTAGTCGTTAATGAACTCTTCTGAGGCTTTGTTGACATATATTATTAACTCAAGTAATTAACCTAACCTACCTTGACCTAAACTTAACTTAGTCTAATCTAACCTAATATAATCTAACATTAAATTAACCTAACTTAACCTATATTAACCTAACCTCGTCCAACTTAACCTAACACTAACCTAACTTAACCTAGATGAACGTAACCTGACCCAACATAATCTAACAGTAACAATAACCTTTTGACCGACAGACATACATACCTGACCGACAGACCTTTCTTATACCCGACAGACATACCTGACCGACAAACCTTTCTTATACCCGACAGATGACAGATCAGCTAACGGGATCTATAAATTCCATCACACAACACGGCGGCGGGGAGTAAAAAAAAAAAAATTACAAGTGACTGGACAGCAATAAGAATCAGTTTGTGTCTGCCTTAACCAGTCCCACCCTATCACACCCCCTCCCCCCTGCTGTTCCTCCTCCTCCCCACTCCATCTCCCCCTTGTTTCATCCCCCCCATCTCTCTCCTCCCCCAGTGTCCCTCTCCCCACTCCACCTCCCCTTTCTCCCTCTCTCTCCACCTCCAAATAATCCTCACTAACCTTTGTCAAAATTCCTCCTCCAAAACCGTATTTCACTCCAAGGTTCAGAGGCCAGAGAGGAAGTACAGTTCACATCCTCTGCTGTAAACCGGGACTACACTCATTCACTCGGTGCTACCAACCATGAAGTCCATATGGTGGTTGGCGACGTGAGGAAGGATTTGTGTTTTCATTGTCACTTCATGTTGGGTGCGTTCAGAGGGCAACATCAAAGTGTCTAGGATATCGTGATATTCTGGGTGTGTGTTCAACAAGTTAGGTATTTCAGAGTACATTTAGTTCATCTTAATACCCACAGATGCTTTCAGAATACTCCTAGATACATTCAGAGTACAAAATCCACCACCCCACCCTGTATTGAGACCATGACTGACTGTATCTAGAATGTAACTCATATACAGGTATGTGTGTGTTAAGAGTGACATAAGAGTGGGTCCATTGTGCAGTGACAGGGAGTAACCAGAGGGACAGCATGTGTTTGAGTGACGGGTTGGTGATGTGGTAACAATGGTCGGTATATCGCGAGAAAATAATGACTTGTATTTTGAATGTCATTGTTTGCTTACCTTTCTGTTGTCTACAATCACAACGTCATCCACAAAAGATAAATAAAACCACAACAAATTATTACAAACAATTTAATAATAAGATAACCCCAACCTTTATAAATCACAAACAATAACTTCAACTAATGTGATCAATAAATGTTAATAGATGTTTATTTTCACCTGAACGTTCGTATCTTCATTTAAATATCTTCAATAACACGTAATTAACCTTTATGTCATGAACTTACATATAGATATTAATAAATGCATAAAATACCTTCAGGATATTTATTATTTTATTTATTTATTCCATTTAGGGTTTTAAAAATGGACTACATTCGTGTATTTGTGAACGCGGAGATCCTGAGTCATCGTGAATATAAACCATAATACTCCACAAAGGCTTATAACAACTAATTACAGCACATTTATTTTAGTTTGTTAATTATTAAAGAGGAATTAATTCATGTTTTTTTTAAGGAGGTATTTGAAGTTTATATGAATGATCCCTTATGGTCGTGATTCATTTGTTTTGGTTAAGAAGGGCGGGAGATAGGAGCGTTTTCATTGTGATTTTTTGGTGTTAAGACATTAAAGGCCTGACATGTTGATTAGCTCCCTCACTCACTTACTCTCTTTCTCTCTATCTACCTAATTATCTATCTATCAATCTTTCTACAAACTGAGATAAAGAGGACACCATAACAATGCCCCCCCCCCTCCTCCAGACCAAAACAAGACGACCCCCTCCACCCACCTCCTCTCTCACCCCCTCTCACCTCCTCTCTCACTCTCTCACCCCCTACGTCACTTCCTCCTCAAACAGGGACCATTAGCTACTTTATTAATGGTCTTGTTCCTCCTACAAGCTGAGACAATAAGGGCGCAGTGGTTGTGGTAGGTCAGGCCATCACTACCGCAGACAAGGTCCCTCTCGGTGTCCTCACAATAACGTGGACAAGGGGGCGGTACTGCTTCTAAGGGGGGAAAAGGAGGGAATGGGGGTTAAATTAAGGGGTGGTAGGTGAAATAAGGGAGAATTAAGGGGTAAAATAAGGAAATAGGGGTGGATTAAAGGGCAAAATAAGGAGTTTTTCACACGTTTGTAATTAAGGGTTAAAGGGTGGGAAGGGGGAAGCATTCTAAGGGGCACTATTACCTAATGGAAAGGGGGAAGGGCGAGGGAACCTAAGGGGTAGTGTTAGTTAATGGATGGGAATAAATGGGATGCTATCAAAGCTTCTACTCGCTAAGGGATGAGGCTAAGGGGGAGTTTAATGGGTGAAGCTAAGGGGTAAGGCTAAGGGGTAAGACTAATGGGTGAGGCTAAGGGGTGAAGTTAAGGGGTGAGGCTAAGGGGTGAGGCTAAGGGGTGAAGCTAAGGGGTGAAGCTAAGGGGTGAAGTTAAGAGGTGAGGCTAAGGGGTGTGGTTAAGGGGTGAAGCTAAGAGGCGAAGCTAAGGGGTGAATTACTACATTAAACTGTACTAAGGGGGTAAAGGGTTGGTGCTATGGGTAAAGGGGGGTGCTAGCTGTGCTGATTCCAATGGCTTTGCTGACGTTCAATAGCTGGTGCTGACATTAATAGCTGCTGGTGCTGACATTATTATAGCTTTTGGGTGCTGACATCATTAGCTGGTGCTGATTTTGAGAGCCTTTGGTGCTGACACTAGTAGCTTGGGCTGACTACGCTGGTTATGCTGATGATAGCTGTGCTGACATCGTTTAAAGTGCTGATACCACTTGTTTGTGCTGACTCCAATGTGCTGATTATCGTTCAAGGTGCTGATATTAGCCGTGCTGACATCGGTTCCTGTGCTGACATCCTCAGCTGTGAGTGACGTGCTGACAGCGTGCCCAGTGCTGACTCTAATGCTCTATAAGAGAAGATTATATAGGAATTATATGGGTGTAATTATATATCATGTGAACAGACACAGAACAAACAATACAATAATCCTTCCCTCTTAACAATAAATAAAATACTAAATTAATTAAATGCACAAACATATAAAAAAAATTAATTACGATTAAATTCATCTTTTTATCTAATTTTACCTACGAAAGGAAAATAAATTCTTGAAGTCACGAGCAGACATCCTTCCTCCTCGACGTCTGAAGGGTATAGTAATTACAAACACACTTACGACAACAAACGCACTTACGACAACAAACGCACTTACGACGGCAAACGCACTTACGACAACAAACGCACTTACGACAACAAACGCACTTACGACGGCAAACACACTTACGACAAGCTCCATCATTGAGTTTGAGAAGACCCTTATTGAAACAGGTAGCAGCTTCCAATTTACAGGGATTCTGATACGTCACGCCATTACTGCCACACACAGGTTGAGAAACATCTGTACACGTCACTTCACAAGCTCTACGCCTCTGTTGTGCTGGGGTGAGAGAGAGAGGTTGTGATAGATGAGATTATAGCTTATTATTATTGGTTTTTTTTATAGTTATGGGGGTTATTGGTGGGGTTGTAAGGCATTATAACATCAATAACAACCGTAGGGATATATTCTAACACCCCCCAACAAGACGACTTACAACACTCAGAGATGTCGACTTTTCTGATAGCGTTATCCTTGCATCGTGCCACGGCCAGGAAACAATCATTCTCATATATCTTGCCATCGTTTCCACACACTGGTTCATTATCTCTATAGCAGTCGATGTTACAGTCCTTAGCTGGAAAATATACGATTGGTTAGGTTAGGTTAGCTTTGGTTAGGTTGGGTTGGGTTAGGTTAGTTTTTTATTCAAAGTTACGTACATTCTTGAGTATAGAGTTAATTATCTCTGTCACACACACACACACACACACTCACCGCACGCACGCACGCACGCACACACACTCACCGCACGCACACACACTCACCGCACGCGCACACACACACACACACACACACTCACCGCACACTCCATCATTCTTCTTCGTCAAGGATAGATTATTCGTGCGACACTTGACCAGGTTCAGCTTGCAGTCTGACCCGTACACAAGGCCGTCATTACCACACACAGGCTGGAACCCGGGTAGGCAACTGTCGGGGCAGTCTTTCCCTGTCACGACGGCAGCTGAAGCCCCCTGGGAGGATTGGACAGAAGGCAGGGAGAGAACGACAGGCTTTCCAATCGGAATAGAAGAGGAGGAGGAGGAGGAGGAGGCAACTGTGGATTAAAAAAAACATTTGCTATTATTTATCACAGGTTTTCTCTTCACTTGTAAACAAACAAAACAAACACCTGTTTATATTCCACCACTTGTAAACAGATGTAGAAAGTGTTTGTTGACAGATAATTGTAGACAAATTTAGATACTACTTGGCATTCCTTACTATTTATCTATTCCTTGAGTTAAGAGAAAAAAATTACCTTACGATGTTTTGAAAAACTGACACTGATCGTAGATGTCAAAGGAGAATTCAGTGGAAGGTTTAGTTATAAGTCTGTATAATATTTCACGAGTGCAATGGCCTTGGCTAAAAGGGAAATTGTTATCTTTAGAATCTTTTAAGAATCTTTGAGAATCTCGATATATACAACAGACTATAAAAAAAACTCTTATGTTATGGAAATAAAACTAGATGAGAATATTTAACTATTAAACTACAAGAAATTATAGTCCCACGTATCTAGCAAAATCTGGGACTATTTTTTGTGTTTGCTCACCACAAACTCCTTCATATCTCACAGCGATCTCTTTGTTTCTACAGGCAGCGATTTCTTGTTCACATCTGTTATCATATGTGACGCCGTTGGTACCACACACAGGGCGGTATGTGCTGCCGCAGTCCTTGTGACAGTTCTGATCTCCCTCTGTTGGGATTTAGTAGAGTTAGTCATAAAAATAGCACATTTTCTTTGGTGGGGTTTAGTTACCGATTAATAGAAAACGGTACTTCTTAGATGGGTAGCTATATCATTTTATATAATTTCTTCTTTATAGTGCTCTCTTTCTCTCTCTCTTCCATCAGTCAAAACAGCAATTAAAATACAAAACTAACTCACCACACACTCCTCTCCTCACTGCAGTTATCCCCCGCCCGCCTGAGTTGCGGTTTCTACAGCTTGCAGCTTCCAGAATACACTTGTTGTTGTAGGTGCGGCCGTCACTACCGCAGAAAGGCTCGTAGATTTTGGTGCACTCATCCTTACAGACCGTAGTGGACAAGGCAATTTCGGATGGGAATGATTCTGGTGTATTTGAAGCTGTAGGGGAGAAGTAGAGAGGAATGAGAGGGGTGTGAGTGGGGTTGGTTAGGTCTTGAGATCAACATGAGTGGGAATGTAAGAGCAATACAGTTAATTAACATATACCTCCTTCCCTTCCTTTTTCCTCATCTTTTCCCTTTCTCGCCCCTCCCCTTCCTTTCTCGCCCCTCCCCTCCTATCATACTCACTACAGGGGCCATCATTCTTCTTCTCAAGGCGGGGGTTGGCACATAAAGCTCTCTTGAAGGTGCAGGAGTTCCTATAGACCACGTTGTCAGAGCCACAGATAGGCCGCACCGAATCAGGGCAGTCCATTCGGCAAAGTCTTGTTTCAGCTGTGGAGTAGAGGAGTTTACTTGAGTTATCGCTGAATGAGATCTCGTTTTCTTTGGTTTTCTTTTGATTTTTTTGTTTCCGTTTTCTTTGAATATTATTTACTCTCTCTCTCTCTCTCTCAATAATATATAAAACAATACAAATAATCATAAATAAACAAATATAACTAATTACTGATAATAATCTTCATACAATTAGTTACCAGACAAACAGACAGGCAGACAAACAGACAGGCAGACAGACAGACAGGCAGACAGACAGACGGACATCTACAATACCTCGAGTCCTAAGAGTTTCGAAAATTGTCGCCAATGTGTCCAATTTCTCAGCTCCTGTGAACATAAAGAAGCACTGGCTGAAGCAATGACTGAAGCAACTGATTGAAGCACTAATTGAATATAGAAGCACTGGTTGACTATGGGGCCACTGGCTGAAGCACAGACTGAAGAAACAACGACTGAAGCACTAGTTGACTGATGAAGACCTGCTGAAGCACCGAGAGGCACGCAAGCACCTCTGAATGGTAAGACATAGCTAAGGTGAAGCACTTAAACGCTAAACTGAAGCACTTGTAGATATAATGAGGCACTTAAAAGCTAAACTGAAGCACTTGTAGATATAATGAGGCACTTAAAAGCTAAACTGAAGCACTTGTAGATATAATGAGGCACTTAAAAGCTAAACTGAAGCACTTGTAGATATAATGAGGCACTTCAAAGCTAAACTGAAGCACTTGTAGATATAATGAGGCACTTAAAAGCTAAACTGAAGCACTTGAAGATATAATGAGGCACTTCAAAGCAATGCTGAAGCACTTAAAAGCTATAATGATTCCGTTTATTTAGCTGCCTGTATGTATGTTAGTCAATCCTCCTGAATGATGGTGGTGGTAGCAGTGGTGGTAGTGGTGGTAGCAGTGGTGGTAGTGGTGGTAGCAGTGGTGGTGGTGGTAGTGGTGGTGGTGGTGGTAGTGGTGGTGGTGGCGGTGGTGGTGGTGGTGGTGCAGTGGTGGTGGTGGTGGTGGGTGGTGGTGGTAGCAGTGGTGGTGTGTGGTGGTGGTGGTGGCGGTGGTGGTGGTGGTGGTGGCGGTGGTGGTGGCGGTGGTGGTGGTGGTAGCAGTGGTAGTAGCAGTGGTGGTGGTGGTGTGGTAGCAGTGGTGGTGGTGGAAAGAGAGGTGTGGTGTATGGTGGTATGGTGGTGGTAGCAGTGGTGGTGGTGGTGGTGGTGGCAGCAGTGGTGGTGGTGGCGTGGGTATGGTGGTGGTGATGGTGGTGGTGGTGGAAGTGGTGGTGGTATGGTGGTGGTGGTGGTGGTGGTGGTGGTGGTAGCAGTGGTGGCAGGAAAGGGCAGGTGGTGGCGGTGGTGGTGGTGGTGCGTGGTGGTGGTATGGGTGGTGGCAGGAGAGCAGAGCAGTGAGTGGTGGTGGCAGCAGTGCAGGTGGTGGTAGCAGGGTAGCAGTGGTGGTGGTGGCGGTGGTGGTGGCGGTGGCGGTGGTGGTGGTGGTGGTGGTGAGCAGTGGTGGTGGTAGCAGTGGTGGTGGCAGTGGTGTTGGTGGTGGTGGGCAAGGAGTGGTGGTGGTGGTAGTGGGCATGTTGGTGGTGGTGGTGGTGGTGGTGGTAGGGCAGCAGTGTTGCGTGGTGGTGGTGGTAGCAGTGGTGGTGGTAGCAGTGGTGGTGGCGTAGTGCAGTGCTGGTGGTGGTGGCAGCAGTGGTGGTGGTGGTGGTGGTGGTGCAGTGCTGGTGGTGGTGGTGGTAGCAGTGGTGGCACTGAAATCAGGAGAGTGACTAAGAGACGGGAATACCCCCCACACACACACACAGCACACCAGGTTTAGTTTACAGGTTTATTGCAGTTTTTTTTTATTCTGTTTTATTGGTTGTGGTGTCTGTATGACTGTCTGCCTGTCTGTCTGTATGACTGTCTGCCTGTCTGTCTGTATGACTGACTGTCTGACTGTCTGTCTCTCTCAGGTAGATAGATAAAGCAGGACGGACAGATAGACAGTTAACCACAGCAACAGGTGAGCCATGAACACAATAGACACCCCTGACAGGTCCACAGACAGACAAGAGTGACAGAGAGAGCTTCATGTTCAAGGCTAGTGTGTGTGTGTGTGTGTGTGTGTGTGTGTGTGGAGGAAGAGGAGGAGGAGGAAGAGGAGGTAGCACAGGAGAAGGAGGAGGAGGAGGGGGAGGAGGGGGAGGAGGGGGAGGTAGGCAGCAAGAAGCAAAGTCCTTGAAGATAAACACGTCTCTCCTATACATAATGGGATTCCCAGGATGGTCAACACCTGACACCACATAACAGCATGACTCACTATGGTATTCCCAGGATGAACAAGGCCCAGTTAGGATTTGGTTAGGTTACGTTAAGTTTGGTTAGGATTTGGTTAGGATTTGGTTAGGTTACGTTAAGTTTGGTTAGGTTAGTGTTTATATGTACGTAAAGTTTACATACATACATACATACATAAACAGATCCAACCAATCACAAAAAGCTTATACAACAAGAGGAAATGACTAGCCAATAGGAATGCAGGTATAAATGACAACGTGGCAATCCCTCAGTAATTATATACACACAATACAACGGGTGAATTTTAGGCTTGTTGTATGACGTATTGTGGTAGGCTGGCTGTATTGTGGTAGGCTGGCTGTATTGTGGTAGGCTGGCTGTATTGTGGTAGGCTGGCTGTATTGTGGTAGGCTGGCTGTATTGTGGTAGGCTGGCTGTGTTGTGGTAGGCTGGCTGCATTGTGGTAGGCTGGTGCATTGTGGTAGGGCTGGCTGTATTGTGGGTAGGATAATGGGGTAGGCTGGCTGTGGTAGGCTGGCTGCATGGATGGCAGGCAGGTGGCCGTGTGTAGGCTGGCTGTGTTGGGTAGGCTGGCGTTGTGGGTAGGCTGGCTGTATTGTAGGTCATTGTATTGTGGTAGGCTGGCTGTATTGTGGTAGCTGGCTGTGTTGTGGCAGGCTGGCTGCATTGTGGTAGGCTGGCTGTATTGTGGTAGGCTGGCTGTATTGTGGTAGGCTGGCTGTGTTGTGGTAGGCTGGCTGTATTGTGTAGGCTGGCTGTCAGGTAGGCTGATGGTATTGTGGTAGGTGGCTGTATTGTGGTAGGCTGGCTGTATTGTGGTAGGCTGGCCAAATTGCAGTAGGCTGGCTGCATAGGTAGGCTGGCTGTATTGTGGAGGAGGAGAAGAAGAAGAAGAAGAATTTTATTCTGTATTTTCATTATTATAACCTAACCTAACCTAACCTAACCTAACACACCAACATAACTTTAAGTATTAAGTTCAATTTAGAAGTATTTCCTCGGATGCGTCTCATTTAAAATAACCTTGGGGTGAAGATAATGCTATACCTATTGTTCAAGGGATATTTATCAAGGCCGAAAATCCCATGATAATCTAATGGGATGAGGGACCTAGAAGGGGTGTTTGTGTCTTTGTGGTACCTGTACTTGTATCTGTGAGGCGAACTACAACGCCAGTGTGGGCAGAAAGCGAGCGAAAGATCGTCTGGTAATACCTTTTAGATTTTTCACACCCACCATCCGTCTGTGGAACGCCAGGCGCTAGTGATTGCTCGTACAGGTGAAGGTGTACTTACCTGGGGTACACCACAGCCAGACTCGCCAACAGGAGAACTCCCGAGAGCTTCGCCAGACGTACCATCGCTCGTGTGTTGTATCGTAAGCTCCGAAACCTCAGAGAGAGAGATTATTATTAGAATTGTTGTAGTTGCAGTAATTGTGGCAGTAGTTGTGGTAGTAGTAGTAGTAGTTGCAGTAGTACTTGTTGTAGTTGTAGTAGTTGTGGTAGTAGTAGTAGTTGTAGTTGAAAACTCGTATAGGAATCCATCAGACCTCTATATAGTAAACAACAAGGCTCTAAGAGGTGATACCATCCTACAGTCAACTAGGGAACAACACAGGGGGACCCTGTTGCAATGGCAATGTACAATAATAGGCCTAACAGTGCTCCAAAAACACAATAAAATTTGAAACAACTGAGGTCAAGCAGGTGGCATACGCTGATGACCTTACAGGAGCAGGAAAGTGGAGGGATCAAAAGTGGTGGGACTGGTAACATCACGAGGCCCACAAGTAGGGTACCACCCAACGCCAGCAAGTCCTTCCTCATTGTGAAGCAAGAACATTATGAACGGGCAATGGAGGTGTTCATGGAAGTGAGGGCCAAAATAGCTAAGGACGGCCAAAGACACCTAGGAGCAGTAATCGGCACTACGGACTCAAGACCGAATACGCAACGAAAGGTGAATGAGTGTTGAAATCCAAGCCTGTCTGAGATTGCCAACACAGAGCCACATGCGGCATTCACCCATGAAGTCGAGCATCGCTGAACTACCTGATGCACTATCCCTGATATCGGACCCTCCTCCACCCTCTGGAAGAAGCTATCAAAGGCCAATTTCTATTCCCAAATTAGTGAAACACCCTGACTTAACCCCAGCAGAAAGTTCACTCTGCACTACCACCGAGACTGGGAGGAATGGGACTGACAATAACAGAAGAGATTGCTGCCACCGAACACCAAAACTCAGAAGTTCACGGCAGCCCCCACGGACCACATACTAGCTCAGAACACAACAGGGAGGTGGATACCAGTGAAGTAAACAAGATTGGAAGGTCCATTACGACAGAACGACAGCACGGCCAAATGATAAGTTACAGCAACTATTGCTGCAAGTACCAGAAAATTTGAAAAAAGTAGCTATACCGCAGGAGGTGGGCGCCTCGAACTGGTTAACAACGTTACCGGTGAGGGCAAATGGTTTCAGTCTCAATAAACAAGAATTTACAGATGCCATTGTTCTAAGGCATGGTCGGCCAGTAGAAGGTTTGCCCTCCCAATGCGTGTGCAGGCCCGTCCTTAAGGGGGGCGAACAGGGCGACCGCCAAGGCCCTGCGCATGGGACCCCTGCGGGCCCAGCACTAGACCCAGTGACCTGGACATTACCTGTTGACTGGTTAATCTGACCTGACGGCTTACGCCACCATCGCAACCGTGACTTTACCATCCATAGCGAGAGTCCTGGCGGTTGGTGGGGTTCCCTGACTGCTAACCTGGGGCCCCGCAGTGGCTGAGTTGCCCCGGGCCCCGCACCCTCCTAGGGACGGCCCTGAGTGTGTGGCTCTACCTATGACGTCGATCACGCCATGGTGTGCGAGAAAGGGGTCTTCATATGCATGACGAAGTAAGGGACCTTACAGCAAATATCGCCTAAATATTTAATACCCGGTTTATTTCAACTAAAAGTTAACATATCTAATGTTAACCTAATTCCCCCCCCCTCAAGGTAGCGTTAGTGTTCAATCATCAGGTGAAATAAACGGGGGTGTTCAATCTTCAGGTGATCCGGAATTAACTTCAATCCACTTCTCCACACTATTTACCTATCCACTTTATCTTGTGTTGAACTCAGTCGTCCTGGGATTAACATTATACCCTTGTTCATTTTTTACCCCATCCACTTATTATCCACACATCCTCTTTACCAATCCACTTTCTTTCTCCCTATCCACACATTATATTCATCTATCCAATGATCTATCCTTCTATCCACATATTATCCATTACTTTCTATTCACATTATCCAATTTTTCCTTTGTTTAGTATTCAAAAGTTGTCCGTCCTGGGATTAGTATTCTACCCCGCGTCTCTATCTAGGGGTCGCAAGGTCAAGATGATAATAATAATAACAATAATAATAATAATAATAATATTTATTTTTGTCTCTAACCGTCACTAAGTTAAGATTCTAATTAAGGAGAGTTATGGGCCTTCTGACGGTCTATGGGTATTAATTTCGTGTTTAGGTTAAGATTCACAGTTAATTCTTTGTTTAATAAGGTAAAATTTATTTTTAGAGCGTTTGTGAAGGCTGAACCAGGATAAAGCAGGGTTCAACCCAGAAGGGGGGGGATAAACTGATACTCAACATGGAAAAATAAAGATTTTCAGTATTATATGCATATTATTTTGAATGCACTTTTTGAGGCAGACAATCTTGGAAAGGAGGAGGGAAATGACATCCTGACATATGGTGAAAGGGGGTGCAGGGGCAAACAAGGTTGAGGAACCACTGTAGTAAAGGGATAACGAGCCTAAGAGAGAATTGTTATAAATATCACTTTTAAGAACCAACATATATAACTAACATTTCTTAACACATGTGATCTTTTTAACACCACAAAAACACTTTAACAAACTTATTGTTAAACCAAGTTTGTGAAAGAGAGGTCAGGCCATTAACTAGCCTCAAAACGTTATATTAACAACAAACACACCCATCCCATGTATAATTACTCCAAAATGTTAAATAGCCTTCAAACAACATCATAATAGTGTATTCTGTCACCGTTTCACCTGCGCACTCCACCACACCCATGCCTGCACAAGACTGAAGCTCGAGCCAAATGAACTCTTAAAAACCCCGACCCTAAGTTCCAGATTCCCATTTAAAATATCTAATACCTTATTTCCTCGACTAATATATAATTATAGAAATTCCCAACGTTTATATTAATTATTCTAGTTAATTAATTTATTTTGATTTATATTAATGTGTATTTTGTGTTTTTTCTCTTATTTATTAATGGTGTTGTACAGTATGCTTATCATGCGTACAGCATTTTCACCAAGCATTGGGTTCAGAAATTCTTAATAATACTTTTATTTTATTTTTATCTTTGGAAAGCTTCTGCCTGCTGGCCCAGATGTCTTTGGGAGCGACGGAAATGGGACGGCGCTAACTGGGGAACCCTGCGCTCGGTTAAGGTCACCTGGGGACACCTGCTGCCCGTAATTACCAAGTGGCACCTCAACACCCAGGACTGATGAAACATACGTCTTTATACTGTTAAAATTATTATACACGCCATATATATAAACACTTTATACCTTCAAAACGATATATAATTTAACTTTAGTCAATTTTTAACTAAACGTAGATAAACAATGTTAAAAATGAGTATATGAAATCAATAAGTCACTAAAATGGTCAGGTAATCTTCTGTTTAGGTAATTTAAATAAACGTATCGTCTTTATAAGATATTATTATTGTCACAGGATTAGAAAAAAGGTTGTGGGGTTCGGGATCTTTGGTTCACACTCAGGATAGTGGAGAACGAAACTCTGATGCTCTCTGTATACATGTTGTATTGGATGTACAATGCAGCTTGGTGCTGGGAAGGCAGCGTGGTTACAAGCGTGATGTAGAGAGCTGGTTGGTGGGGTCTCAGAGGAGGACCAGCTTGTGGGTCGCCATGCTCGCCGGCAGAACCGGGGAGCCGCCAGGCAGGAGGAGGAGGCGAGGGCCGCCAGGCAGGGCAGAGGTGTTAGTTGCTGCGGCTGTAGCTGAAGAGGCAGGTCACCACGAGGTCAGGTCTTAAATAGCGAGTAGGCGTGAAAGCAACAGTTGACCTCCGTGATGTATGGCGCTGGTGTGCCAGACCACGAGGCATACACTGAAATTCGTGGGGTCGACTACTCAGACAACAGAGTTTGTAGAGTAATCAACTACAAGATAATACAGCAATTGTTTATAAAGATTATATAATATAAAACAATCCCTAACTGGCATCTAAATTTAAATAAGAAAAAGACTCACTCACACTCTTCGAATATAATGTTATCAATTTTACAACTATTTCAATAATATCTCTTCTTTGGTTATTAAATATAAAACTAACTCAGGTTAAATTCAAGAGAATATAATTCAATTTATTATGATAAATGGTGTTCCTGACATCAACAGGGAGGCGGGCAGCCACGCTGAAGTCCATAGAAACAGGAATTTATATTAGAGGAACTACCAAAACACCTGCCTTGTGGTTTAATAATTATTTGTATTGGCCGTTTCTTCCTCAATTATCACCAGAAGATGTCTGTGGGTGTTTTACTACCTGGATATTAGTTGAATCTTTGTTATGTAAGGGTTATGAGGTCAATGTTAGTGGGTTAATGTTATTTCTGGTGCGTGTGTGTGTGTGTGTGTGTGTACAGGTCTATAGGATACGTTCATAGTCTGTGTATGTATTGACTTCTCCTGCATACACATACACACATACACTTCCATAACAACACATCAACGTATCTAGTTAAGGTAGAGTCTCAGGGTAATTTTAACGCCATTTTTGGACATTCATTTTGTGTTATGGACTAAAATAATAACAGAAGTGTTCTTACGCCTCCAATCACGAGAACCAGTTAACAGGTGAATTAATTCTGCCAACCAAGGCTGCAATCACCATGACGACCCGGATCCTGGCTAGATGTGTTCAAGATATTATATAAATGGACTACTCTAAGGGGTGGGTGGAGGGTGTGGAGGGTGGGTGGATGAGTGTAAATGGGTGGAGAGAATAACAAACATGGATGTAAAGAGGTGCATCATTCTGCCAGACCAGTTTATTATCAATAAAAAAACACTGTTATGGGGTTTCCAAACTAAGTTCTTATTTAGCAGAATATTTTTAGAACTAACAACCCAACTACCACCCCTCGTAACGATCAGAGACACCATTCATATCCTTCCCAAAATCAACAACACACGAATTTAATCATTTTTTAAGTTCCCCTATGTAATATTACTGGATTATTTCCTATTTCCGGTTTATGAAATGAGATACCCCCCTTTACTCTTCTCAAGGTTGTGGGCGTGCGTGTGTTGTGTGTGTTTGTGTGTGTGTGTGTGTGTTTTATGTATGT